ACGTAGAAAAAATAGCTACCCGAAGTGCTTCTGAGGAATCTGTCCCTTGAATCACCACGAGTCATTTCTTTCGAGAACGTTTCCCCCAGTGGGGCTCTCTGGGGGGATTTCCAGAGACAGGCCATGCCTTCTGAACCCCTCAGGCAGCCAAGGGAAACCACGGCAGGAGACTGCACAGTCATAAAAAAAGACAGAGATTCCTGAAATTTGCAATGACTGCAATCCATGGCAGTCTCTGGCTTTCAAATGTCTCAGAGTTGCCTATCTCCCCATTTAATAGATGTGAGAATGAGAGGAAACAAGCAAATGTAACGTCAGTGGAGCTGATGATGCACTGGAAAAACTCATCAGTAGCTCCTGAACACCAACCACCGCCTCCCTCCCCTCACTATTATCTTTGGTGAAACAGAAAGAGGATTTTACTATTCAATTCTTAAGAGCCATTTTAAATCCGAATCATTAGAATATGATCTGCTTTAGGCGTTTCTCATTTCATTTCCAAGACTTAGCCTTACTGATGGTCAAGATAGGCCTGAATTTCAGAGATGCTTCTACCTACTCCTGGATCCTGCTATCATGAAAATAAGGGTGGACCTTGAAAACATGCCAAGCTAAGATGTTGTCACGTGAAGTTTAAAATAAAGGAAGGTAGCCTGATTTAGCTCTGGCTGACATTGTGTCAGGAAACAGTCACTGCCATGCCTTGGCACAGCTTTCTGTTGAAACAGTGGCTCTCTCAAAACAAGAAGTCTGGCACAACACAGGACAGTGGTCTTCAGAAAAGCATAAGGACCTAAGACAGCAAAGAACATTAATGTGTCTCAGTAGACACATGGAAGCTATTGCAATAGGATGATTTTCTGTCTTCTACTAGAAATACCTGCAGTTTCCACTTCCAGAGAGGCAAGACCATAGCTCCGTGCAAAATGTACTTTTTGTTAAGAGAAAAAGAACAGTTTACCAGTCATACTGAGTACCGCCCTTTTCCCTCTCCATGGTGACTTCCCAATTAGTAGCATCACTTACTAGGTTATCGCTCAGTTCAAAAGTCATCAGACATAGTAAATCTATAGCTTCCTTGTTGTGTTGCCAGATGGAAAGTCACCCTTTTATGAGGGAGATACTGAAACATGTCTAGACAGACACAATTCATATAACTCTGCACAGCCAGAGATCATAATTCTGTGCCAACTGATGACCCAGCTGAGGTCTGAACACTCAGTCTAGTTACGAAGTGTTTTGTCTGCCATGGCCCTTACCTAGTATTGTCACATCCTTCCTGCCCAAATATTTTAATGCTTATAAAGGATTCTCCACATACATACACAAAATACAAGCCTATACAGACAGAAAAGTTATCAGGCACTGGAAGTACAGTGAGAGACTGCAGAAGGAGCTCAATGGTCAAAGCATTTCTAATATGGGCTGGGGAGAGGAAGAAGTTTCAGTCTTGGCAGCTTGGCCATTTTTCATGGAATGAAAAACAGAACTTAGCAGAAAAAAAAGATTAGTTGTATCACCATTATTATCACCTTGCTAAAGCAAGAGCATTTCCTATCTGGAATTCTTCTTAAATGCATTAGAGATGGCAGGAAGGAGGCAGTTATAACCTGGTATGTGCCTATTAAGTTATAAACTCATACAAGTCATCTACAGTTCTCCCTTCCCCTGCCACAGCAGAGCAGAACACACCAGCATGGAAAATGTCATTTTAAGGTCTCCCTCAGAGACGGTGTGATGTGCCTGATTTTGGGGTATTCAACCAGATCCTCTCTCATAAAACTGGCCTCTGGCACAGTCATCAAGGTGTCAGGCTGCTGAGAACACATATTTGCCCTCCCAAGAATAAAGTATTTCCTGCCAACAAGCTCGTTTATGGATATGTCAAACTTAAGAAAAAAACTCAAGAGGCTTCATGTCCATTGAAACATTCCATCATTCCATCAAGAACAGAGAGACAGGGAAACAAAATTGCTAAAGACTCTGGCAGCAAGTATTTATGCTTGGCTGGAACAGGATGTGTCTCTAAATTAGTGGCCTTAGCCTGCAACACCAGAAATTTGGTAACCTAGATGTGACTTCTACAACATGGAACTTGCAGATAATTTACATTTCTACTAGCTAGCATAGTGGTCATGGAAAAGAAAAGCAATTTCTGTGGAAAGCCCATAAGATGGGTTTTAATGCTGAACACTACTATGGGAAACCCTGAGTCCTACTAGAACAAATACGTTATGAAACAATAAATGAAGAATTGCTCCTGCTTCGAATTTCTGCTGATGGGCACTACCAATGACAACTCAGGGAGCTTCACAGCATGCTGCTGGATTCCAGTTTATGAGAAAAATCCACATCTGCAGAGAGAAGATAGGCTACCTCTGTGGATAAGACTGTTCTGCTGCAAAGCCGTTTGCAGAGTATGAACAAATGCATGCTTCCAAACCAAAATCCAAACTGTAACTGCATCCCGCTGTTTTATTTGGGTTTCACTCTATTTCAATTAACTGAGAAGAACCTGACAGTTCTGCAGCAACAGAAGGACAGAATGGGAAAGCAGCAGAGCGGGGAGCTGCCAGGGCTTTCATCTCTGTGAAGACAGAATGGGGAGGGAGCAGCAAACTGGGCTGCTGATTGATATCACATTTTCTGACAAACAGAAGACTCAAAAGCAAATGGATTTTTGCCCCTGTTCTTGCAGCTGCTGTCCCCTGCACAAGTGTCTACTGCCTGGAGTAACAACAGATAGGTCCAATTGCTGGATGTGTGCACTAATTGCAACCAGCACTGAAATACTTCTGAACATTGGCATTCAAATATCGCCTCTAGACCACAGATTCAGTGTGCGATATTCACTTGTTTCACATCCCCCTCCTGCCCCCCAGCAAACACAGTTACTGGGCACAATATTTTTTATTTTGAGTTCTGGTCCTGCTTCTTTGGTGGGTGAAGAGGGTGCTATGGGGAAGCACCAGGATCGCTCCTGGTTCACACACAGTGACAGAACTTGTTTTCCCATACAAGCGGGAAGAGCATTGAGGGATCAGCACATGCCAAGTGCAAAGAGTTAAATCCACTTTGTCCCTAAATATATCACAGTCACTTCAGGCCATTCTGCATTGTTGTAGCACTTAAAGAGGAAAAAGCACCTTGATAATTTTTAAAACTCTTTTGTGGATCCATGATGGTATAGATTTCATTGTGGCATCTGAGGCTCCATTTATCCATGTTGCCAGTTAGGAACTGCTGGTATTTCTTAGCATAGCTGTGGCTAAGCAGGTTGCAGTAAGCTTTCTCCTTGTGCTAGACAGACCTTCTACCAACTTTCAGAGAGAAGACTTCAGGATAAGGAGACTAAGCATTCAGCCTGATTTGGCTGGCAACACTGATTAGGGAGAAAAATACACTGTCCACACAGCTCACGGGAACTGTGCTTGAGCCCCACTGGCAGTAGCAATCACATTTAGTACAGTCGTATTTCCATTACACAGAGAGTCTTTACTCCAAAATTTATGTACAGTTTAATCCGATTATTCTTCTTCCCCATTTCTGCCTGACAAACAGTACTTGCTAGGCCCCTGGCTGGAAATCCATGCTAATCAACTTAAGGCCTAGTAGATAAAGCAAAGTTTTTTTCTCTGTGTTGTCAGCAAACCACATTTCATGACTATGCTCAAGCCTCTGCTAACTAAGGTCACTGGCATCCTCTCAAAATCCAGGAACAAATAACAAGAACAGGAAGAAGCTGCAGCTTGAGTGAAGACAGAAAATGCCAGTGGAGCTGCTCACACCGGCACTGGAGTGGGGGTGCTACAGGGGAGGCCAATGGCTCTATGCAATGTTTATGCAAATGACTTTGTTGATGGGTTTTATGGGCTCCCACACAAATGAGAGTTTTGATTATCTTAACCACAGAATTTTGTTTCCTGCATCAAGCAAACTAAATACTCAGCAACTGCCAGACTATTAAGCAAATGGCATGAGATGTATTGATTCTGCAGTGGTAATGATCTTACGTTTTTACATAATGCCTTTCAGGCTTAAGTGTCCCTAGGAACACTAGAAGTTGCACCTATGAAAAAAGCACTTCAGGAATGAAACACCACAGCTGCCTGAGAGGACGTTCCACCATTAAAGGGGATGCAAACACCAGAAAAGCAAAACACACTCTTCCCAGCCAAAATTCTTAGTAGCATTTTGGATAGGTTCTAAAGACAATAACCAGATTAGATATTAGATAGCCACGTCTTAGAGAAGGTGGAACAAGTACTGAAACAACTATTGAAACAACTATTGAAACAGTGAATATCTTTGTCATGAAGTTTACCACAGAGCCGGTGCAGCTAAAACTGCTGCACAAACAAACATCTAGTTAATGGATAACTGTACTGAAAGTTGTGGCTTAAAACCTGGCTGTTGATAAAAGCAGTTTGTCAAGACATCAATTTTCTCTCTTGTTGGAAAGGTAATGCTTCACCCAACAATGTCATTTGTAATTGAACTGTGGCTCTACTTACATCATCAGGAGGCAAATGCAGCATCTGAGTCATCAAAATCACTGCAATTCCCACTCCTGTAACTCCTACCCAAGTTCTAATCCGTGACCAACCTTCTTCACCAAGGTCACACTTCAAATCCTGTCTTCACTGAAGGTTTTCTCCATGCACTCAAGCAAGTCATGTCACTGTTTTGTGTCTCATATTCTTGCCTGAATATGGACACTTCTGACATTTTGAGGGTTTCTTAGGGATACAGTTAATCTGAATTTTAGAGAACGTCAAGGAGAAGGTTGGAATGGAATGGAACTACGCACCGCGTGAGGACTTTCATCAGCTGAAGAACAGCAAAAGACAGAAGGTCAGAAGAACTTCGATCCTTTTCCCTCACAGGCAAAATCTGTGATCACTCTTAAAATCACTTGAGGGTAAGAGCGAAGGCTCAGAACTAAACCTTGCCATGGACCTACAGAACAAGTCATGTCTCTGGTGAAGGAAGCCACTTACCGCCTGAGTGCACTTGTCAGTTCAGCAGTCAGTTCACCCTCATTGTACGGTCTCAGTTCAGCTAGCGTTAACGGTGTCGCGGTGCCATCGCTGCATTCCTGAGAAATGAGGAAAGGCCATCTTAATTTGAAGTTACTTACCATCTTAATGGGAAAACTCTGAAAACCTCTTAGTTTGCAGCTACTTTTAAAATGGAGGCGAAATAAACATCACAATGTCACAACAACATGGCAGTGTATCAACATACTAAGAAATGGACTAACGGATTAACACTTTACAAATCCTTCTAAATGTTTCCTAAAGCACAATAGCTCACAGATTTGCAGAATTCTGCTACAGTGTGCACAACTGCTGGTGTTTTATATTACTTTTGACACCACACTTGAAACAAAGAAGCACTGGGTCAAACAATTCAGGTGCTGCTTTGCCAGAAACAAGTAAGAAAGACACAGTTATACACTAGCTCTGGATTTTGTTTTTAAACATATTACTGAGGTTTTCTGGGGACACAGCACTAAAACAACAGGATTAAAGTTTTTCTAGGTGTCACTATTTCTTCATGCAAATTAGTAAGGTAAATGCAGAAATCTGTTTATTTTGCATTATACTAAGGGGGAAAAGTCTTCATTCTTAAATCATTACAAACTGTATGACTTGGAAAAAGAGACTGTCATTACAGTGCTCTAACTGCTTCATAGAAATGAGCTCTATTTTGTCATATTTTGTGTTTGGAGTAGTGGGAGGATGGCGTTTTGCTCAGACTCTCTTCCACTATTTCCAATGAGTGGCAACAGGCAAGACACAACATATTCAACCACAGTAGCTTGTACGTTTGGCATGAATGGCTTTGTTGTACTCCTCCCCAAAATGACAACCTTATGTTAGCCCAAGCTTAACAGTAATTCTGCAAAGTCCTCATAAGTCACAGCATGGAAAGAAGCACCTAACAACTGGAGAAGAGAGAAAAGACATACACATAGACAAAAGAGGAGAATGATTAACATGCTAAAGACTGCTATAGGAAGTGGAGGGGTACAATAAATCACGTTTATGCTGATTTTGGAAAGTTGTTCAACTCCTGACCTTGCCCAATTTGTCTTTGCTTCCACTGCTGGTTGAGCTGAGAGACCTCATTCTCTGCTCTTTTTGCTCTTCCACTTCAGATTTCAAATGCTCAATATGGACAAGGTAGGCCTGCTCCTGGGCCTCTCGAGTGCTCAGTTTCAATTCCAATGCTTTCTTCTCCTTCTCTAGCAGGTAAAGCTGTGCCTTGAGCTCTGCCATCTCCTCCTGTTGAAGAAACATCATCAGCATGCTGCTTCACGGACTATATACCTAAAGATAGACGAGGTTAAACAACAGCTTCATCCACTCCTGTTACTTGAGTGTTCTTTCCATGGAGAACACTATCAGCATCCAGAAGGCTTTTTATAATCACATAGTATATTTGTCAAAAGACCAGTATATCTAAGACTAAGTGAGTATGATGAGCTGTGCCATCCTTTAATCAGCCTCAGAAATAAGGTCAGAGGCAACAGAGCAACTAATGTGGTGCTGAAACTAGAGTATCAGGGATCTGAGAGAGTTGCCACAGCTGCTGACATTTCCTTGGTTCTACTTTGCCCTTCAGAGACCATAGCCCTAAAAACAGGAGTGTCTGACTTTTTTGTCAAGCCACTCCCTAAATGCCAGATTCCAATTTCTTACTGATACATAGGAATTAGAGTTGGTTTACCTCATTACAGTGGAATAGGTTTGAGGGACTAGGACAGCAAACACAGATCACATATTCCTGCCTTGTAATACCAGCCTCTGTGGTAGAATGAGTTACTCAAAAAGGGCAACTGGGTATGGCACCATCAGATGTCCATTTTTAACTTCCCTCCTCTAGATGGCCAGAATCCCAACTATACACAACAGGAGGTTGACAAAATTGTGCTTGCTTATATCCTTCCACAAATATGATCCTCAGAAGAAAGACACTGGTACTTCATAGAAAGAAGCTCAATTCTGAGAGCTAGTTCTCATGTGTAATTCTTCTGCCACTCTGATATTTGTGACAGAGCTGTCAACTACTGTAACACAACAGTTGCCGTCTGGGGACAGACCTCTGCTTTAACATCTGCTCTGACAGTGGCTGAGCAGAAGTGTAAGAACAAGGCACAAGTGCAGTGACTCCTCTTTCAGCACTTGCTCCCAGCCTCCATGAAAAGCAGCTGATGGGTATCCTGAATCAGAAGGCTCTTTGTGTTTAACAATGCTTCAACAAAGTTTATTCCAGGAAATGTCTAGCTATTTTCTGAACCCAGGAAAACCCAGCATCCACAAAACGTTTAAAGAGATAGTCCTAAAACATAATTTACATTACGTGTTAAAAAAACACCATCAAACAAACAAAAGACCGCCAAACCAAAAAAAAAGCAACAAACCCAACCCAGAATCATGTTCTCACTGTTGAGGCTTGCTGTGCCCTAGGTCACCTCATGGGTGAATACTGAGTTCATGCAGCCATTTTCTGTATTACAGTTCAGTTCTAGACTTGTTCACTGTGTAAACACCTCTGAAAGATAGAAGTTTCATGTTGTGCGGCCAGCCTAGGAAAAAATCACTATTTTAAAATTATTTTTTAAATGAAAAAACCCATATTCTAGTCACAAAAATATCAGAGGTATCTTACCTTATCCTTCAAAAATAATGCTCTTTATATTATATCCATTATTAACAAAGATTATACAAACACAAATCTTGGCACATATTTAGACTAACTTCTTCTGTAGAAGAAAATCTACATTCCTACCAAAAATTTGCTGTCTGGATTAAGTGTAAGCAGTGCAAACACGTGTAGCACAGTTACAACCAGCATATAGTAATCACAGGTAATCATTGGCTTATTCAGAATCACCAACCATGCAAAAATAAAATCCATATCCTAAACACCCTCAGGCTTGGAAAGGTTTGTATAAGCTTTAAAATAATTCATTTATTCATCTACTTTTTTGTTAACTGAAGGTTAGAAGCACAATCAGTTTCATTCAATGTGGTTTACAGATATTTAGTTGTTAGGCAAACTTACCATTAATTTACTTTGTCAACAGTAAAAATGTACATAATACTGATAAATAACAATGGGGAAATTTAGTTATAGAAGTTGAACTGTATTGTCTGGTATACTTAAGTGTATGCATTTAGCTTCTTAAGCCTCTATTTCTAAAGCCATTAATCTATTCAGCCTGCTTAGTGAAGTCTGAGAAGTAATTTGAGCAGAGTATTTTGGCACTTGGGTGAACAGAAGATACTCTTGACAGAGGGTTATCTATGTGGGAGGGTCATGACAAGATCTTCCCAGGCTGGAAATTGAAGCTAGGCAAATACAGCGTAGAAATAAGGGACATTTATTTCCTAAAAGAAAAAGGTGAATTGAACCACTGCAACAATGAATGTGATGATTTTTCCCATCATTTAAAAGTTTTAACGTAAAGACTGGATGCTTGTTTGTACTACATATCCTAGCTCAAAATAAATTTGAGGACCAATGGTTAACTCCTTTGTTTATAAAGACAGTAAGCTTAGATCATGATATATGAATTCACAAGTTTGCACCCTGTCCCAGAAGACATATCATGGGCTCCAAAACGACGCCCCCAATACGCTAGTTTTCTCATGTCAAGACAATGTGACTTTGAAGTAGAGAAGCGAGGGCAGGGCAAAAGTGGAAGAATTATCAGCCACTGTCTTGCAGAGACTCCCAGGGAAGGAACAGGAAGGAATGGAAAGGTTGAAGTTGAAAACTAAAACTACAGTGGAGGATTATGGACACATAAAATCTGCGAGGCAAATTTTCCCATCTCACGTGGGAAAATTTAAGTAGCTCAGGTTTACTTAGAGAGTTAATAAGTCTTTACATATGCAATAATTTTTTCCATGAAAATATGTTTTCTAAAGATAGTGTCTAAATTTCATTTCAATGACAATATCACCTTTGTATATCTACTATCCCCTTTTTTTTCTAATTACAGGATGCTGGTGAAACATTTTACAGTTTAACATATTTGCTTCTTCAGAGTGTGGGCCTGAAGCAAAAGTGCCATTTACCAAATGAAACCCTGAGACAGGAATGTAGGAAGTGGTCACTCTTCCAGTTGATTGCAGAAGACTTATACAACCCATGCAAATTCACAAGCTTCAAGCACCAAATCTATCAGTCATTTCAGGACTAATTAACTGAATTTGAGGAGTATTTCGTACTTGCAGTCATACTGTAATTCTGAATTTGGGTGAAAACTTGAACGAAAATCAAACACTCCTGACTCAATATAATCAGAAACGCCACAGCATCCTCAAAAAATTACAATTTGTGTCGGATGTGGTCATGTCAGAAGAATAAACCAGAAAGGACTTTATGTGACAAAAAGTTCTAAAAGTCATGAAAAGGGACTCCAGGACAATCGCAGTACACAAGGTGGAATATACCAGCTTTCAGAAGTAAAAGAGATACCAGGGCAGATAAATGCCATGCTCTAGATAACTGTATTTTACTATATACATCTACAAAAGCATGAAAGGCTGTAACAAAGGTGGACAACAGGATTCTTAACATTTTCCGGAAAGGGACTGTAGTCTCAAAGCACATTATGAGCAATATTATCACCACGTGTACACAAAAGAGAATCTATCAGTGTAGAAAGCTGAGATTTCTTATCTAGATTAAGTCCTTTGAAATGCAGAAAGGCTGTAAACCAAGAATTATTTACACCCATCAGAAGTAATCTCCTTGCTAAATGGGGCATGACAACAACTGACCTCAAAGCAAGACCACTGAATGATGACAAACCGCAGAGGAGAATGTATTCGGGAACATGGTTAATTATTGTTTGAAGCAAAGAATTGGATTTTACAAAAGTACTGGTGGACCACTACATCTTACGCTCTGGATCAGTAAAAAAAATAAACAGGGCAACAAAGAAACCACCTCCAAACCATCTTTTAGGGATCATTTTCATCACTAATAAAGAACTAATGGTGTAAAGGCATTTTCAGAACATTATCAGGATAACACATAGATGCAAGAAGCAAAATGACTGATGTGGCAATCAGTTTTTACTGAGAGTCATAAATGAAAGGTGCCAAAAGATGCAGCAGAGATTCTAACACAGATACAAGTTTCAGGAAGATAGCAGCAGGTCATAAGACACAGCAATGCAGGAAATCCTCGAGTAGCTCAATCAAGCAGTATCATCCTTGCTAGAAATATGGAAAGGAACAAATTAAGAGCTGCTACATGATGAAGTCCTCTGCAGTACACATGAGTCCATCTGCTTCAAGTTAAATAAAATACCATAGGGAAATTTAAATTCTCTGGTTGTCTCAGAAGAAGACAGATGCATACGCTATTCTGTATGATGTACATCTTCCAAATAATAGATACAAACAATACACTCAGAAAGTCAAGACATTCATGAGTCCTGCCCTTAGGTTCCGCTATGTTATGGCTTTCTGAACATATGAGCAAGGTGTAATGCAGACCTGAGCAACAACCATGGATGCTCATAAGGTAGCACATTCTTTTGGGACCAAAGCACGCAGAGTATAGCTGTGCCTTTTGTAATGCTTTATGTATAGAAGAAAGGCAGGAGTTTTCAATTTCTGCAGCAGGAGATCACTTACCAGCAAACCGATCCCAAGGTTTGACAAACTTGAGTTTTCACCATATCCCTTTCAGAACCCTAGGGATTTCCTGCCGTTGTGAATTCCAGCAAAGTACAACAAATTATAATGAATAACTATACTGCCAGTTTCTCTGTACCAGAAGGTGACTTAAGTTGACTTCAGCCACCTATGTAAAATGTGTGTCTATTCCAGCATGCATTGCACACAAACCAACCAAGAGATTTCTTCTTCTTCTAGGGGCAATTCCTGCAGTGAAAACCCAATGTGCTAGGTCCAGCCCAAACTTATGAGTGGACACCATATGTCAAAAACAAGTTAGATGATTGTTCAGTGAACAAACGGACTACCAGCACTCAAAACTGTGCCAGAAATTATGATATGCAACTGTTGGTGTTCCTGCCAGGTCAGGGAATGCAAGGGGACGAATCACAAGGGATAGCTCTGCAGTTTGCCTTTACTGATCAGTTTAAAGAGAGAGGTAAGAATGGTGTACAAGAGATTTCAGGGAAGATCTGGATGCAAAAGAGGAGAAGAAAGTGTGATATCTGAAATATACATCTAATTATCTACTAATGTCTTCCAGTACATCTTGTATGCTTTAGTTATGGGGAATATATTGCTGTTGGCCACAATATATTGATACAACTAACATGACTTTAAATCTTCAGACTGGTAGCAGGCAATCTTTTTTTCTGAACTGCGAATATGTAATGCATTATTGCAAAATCATATTTGTCACGGAAAGGCAGCACCACTAAGAACGTAATTATCATTACTAAGCTACCAGTTAGCCAACAGTAGCACATCTGAACCAAAATCTATAGCTTTAGAAGGTTACGAAACTATTAGGATTTGCTGTCCCATGTGATACCATCATCTGACATATCTGCCATTAGTTGACTAAAATAGGACTTGCTAACATGCAGAAATTAAACTTATTTAAACTGAACCAAAATGAGACAATTTCTAAATTCAGGCAAGTGCTTGTATTGCCTTTAATATATTCCTATGTTTTAGTTCACCTCTCTCAAAGTCAATACAGAGGCCAGACTTAAAATGATATAAGCTCTATACCTGGTCAATAAAGGTCAGTTTTTCTAGATCACATCTTTAGAACCGGTCGTATGAACCAGGCCTGAGGGACCATAATTTTCTCTGAAAACCTCTGTTACTGCACATCAGTACACACCACACTATTTGCCTGGGCTCTGAACCGAGTTACAGATTGCAACACAGTGCCTAGAACAGCTCTGGACTTGTGACCGACCGCTGGAAAGCATTAGGGATGATAGCTTCTGACAGACCATTCCTCCTCCCACGGCAATATTAAAAGGAGGTGAATTTGTTCTGCTTCAGTTCACAAATATTCAAGATGCACATTTGCAAGCTTGTAAGTAAAGTAATGAACTGTCTCTTGGGAAGTGCTGTATCATGCTTTTGGTCACCCTCAAGCAACTCAGCTGCCGTATCTTTTAGAGAGAGCATCTGGTTTGTCAAGGAGAGCATTCCAAGTTTAGATCCACGGATGAAGTTCTCGCCTAATTCAAAACACACATAGCTCATCACTGTTAATGCACTGCCTTCTGTCACTTTCTGACTACTGGATTTTCAGCCCTTATTATTTGTTTCAACAAAGTTACCCTTTATTACCCAGTGATCACTATCAAAGCCTCCCATGTGTGTGACTGAGCATGTTTTTTAGCAGAGGGGTGTTGTCAGCAGTGCAGTTAGCCTGTTGGATACAAATAAAATACCTTCATTGCCATAAGTTCCTGCATCAAGACCGCATTTTCCAGGTCTAGCCTCTGGCTGTCTCCACGAGGTTTAACGTCATAACTAAGGGGATCAATGTGGATGCTTTCCAGCTCCAGCATTGTCAGTTTTACTGCTGCCCTGTCATTTTTCAACTGCTGGATGTAATCCTTCAGCCGCTGCTCATCCTCCTTTGTAAATTCCGTATCACAACTGCTTGCAGTTGAGCTGGTAGTACTGGAAAGAGAAAGAACGGTATTAAAAACACATCTCGGAGAAAAATCTATATTTTTACATCAAACACTCCCAATACTTCATCAACGCATCTGAGTCTTACTTAAAAGTTCATAGAAAGGACACACGTAGTGTGGACTGGACGTTGCAATGCTCAGGAAGATGCAGAGGGGTGTGACAAATTCAGAAAAGAAATTAATTCTCTAAGCTGCATGAGAAAATTGAATCATGTGACAACTTCTCAGCAAAGCCAGCTATCTAGTGACATGTAACTGAATTACATTTTCTGGAACGGTGTCTTCTGAAACAAGAAACTTTTTCTTAATTTAAAAAAAAAAAAAAAAAAGCTACTTAAGATGTCTTAGGAATACCCTAGCAGGGCAAGCTTCTCTCTGTTGCTCAGCCACTGAGTCTTCATCTTCTTTGGGAAGAAGCATCTGCTAAGAAAAAAGAATCAGCCCAAACCTCATTTATGTCTGCTGATGGCAATACCAGTTATCATCTCAGCTATTTTTAATGGATACTTGTAGGAATCAACCTGAGCAAAATTCCACTGGCAGATGCCAGGAGGTAGCATCTTTCAATTCATGTTAAGGTGTATTCCTCAGTACACTGACATTCCTTCAGGGCTGGAAGGGTTTAAAACCAACCCATAAATTAGCAGGATTTTTAATAAAAAGTCATCATCAGACTTGGTGGAACTTCCTATCTACAGGCACCAAATGACTGTCCGTTAGTCTGCCCCACAAATGTTTACACAGAGATCACAGAAAGGGAGAAACGAATGTCTTAGAGCAAGGGTGGTTTAGTGCTGCCTACCCACCTACACGCATGCCAGCGCTGCAGGGGGCTGGGACTGACACAGCCATAGCATTCCAGGGCTGAATATAGTTGCAATAACACTAAAAGGAAAATAAAATGCCGTGTTGTTTCTATAACCTCACTCAAAGCTGCCTGCTGTCTCCTGAGGTCCTGTAATCAGCTGCCGGGTGAGGGATAAGTCATCCATTAACTGTGCTTGTCTGGAATGCTAGATGATCTCAGTTATCAGCAGGGGAATAAATCACTTTCTGTATCAAATTGCACTGCTGTTCAACATTTTTGTAGGAAGAAAAAAAGCCCCACCCGCTACATGCTGTGAGAGTCAGGATGATGTCCTAAAATATATTATGCATGTGAAAAAGGGGAAGCCTATCAAGATATACTTGATTTTTCTCTTTTCTTTTGGTTCTACTTCAGCTAAAGCTACATTGATTTTTAAGTGCCTGAAATAATTGCCAATCTTCCCACAAATTCCAAGCACAGCCTTGGAGGAGATAGAGAATTGGCAGGTCTACAAAGATTTCTCAAAATCCTTCCCTCTCATGAAATATCACATTACAGTTCTTTACTACAGTTCTCTGTCAATTTCCCATTATTCCTTCCTTTTCTTAGGGATAATAAGTGCCATATTTACCACAAGGGTAAACTGGTCTTTGCTTTTGTTTTCATCCATTTCCATCTGCAGTGAAGCTAAAAACACGCAGTACCTACACTGCACAGAAACCCTTTCAGGTTGAAACAAATTTTTGTTCATACTTAGTTCTTCATTAGAGAATCTCAAAACACTTAACAAATCTTGCTTTACTGAGTCTAAAGATACCTCTCTGCAGTAGATATTGATATAAAAATCATGGGGATAGACAATGTGAGAAACTTAATTCTGTACTGAAGTCATGTTGCAAGTTTCCTCAGCACCCAAAGACAGTAATTGCACAGCTTTTCTGGATTAAATGTAAAACAGCTGTTGTTGGAGGAAGGACAGCTTTTAAAGCCTACACAGGCTTCAAATCCTGGGACACAAAGCGCTCATCTCAGTTTTCGCTTGCAAAGGAAAGAAAACCTAGCTCTCCTGCTGGGAATGAAACCTGAACAAAAATGCTGAAAGTCTGTTGTTATGTTGTGTTGGACCTCGTACTCACTGGATATTCACAGATTTTGGCCCTTAAAGATCCACAGCTATGCATGTATATTTTAGGGGAGAGCCGTCCAAACTGAGGAAGGCAGTCTGGGCTGTTGCCAGTGATACTCAGGCTGCTTTTACTTCAGTCTTGGCTGCCTTTTTAAAGAAGGTAAGGGGAGCTTAGCAAGGAAGCTGTCTCAGACAGCACAAAAAGGGATGAGAACCTTTCCTCTTGCCCCACATTTAGCAGCAAGGCCCTAGCCAGAAGACTGGAAGCAGTATGGGTTGCAGAAAGCTGGGGTACAAAGCCCACTTTGGACTGTTGTAAAAATTAGGTTGCATGATGAGGGACAGAAACAACGCTGCAGTGTTTCTGACCTCCCACAGCACAGCTCTGCCAGGGTGTGTTCCCCCAAAAGCCCCACCATACAGCTCTCCAGAGCCATAATAGAAACTTAATTCTGTACTGAAGTCATGTTGCAAGTTTCCTCAGCACCCAAAGACAGTAATTGCACAGCTTTTCTGGATTAAATGTAAAACAGCTGTTGTTGGAGGAAGGACAGCTTTTAAAGCCTACACAGGCTTCAAATCCTGGGACACAAAGCGCTCATCTCAGTTTTCGCTTGCAAAGGAAAGAAAACCTAGCTCTCCTGCTGGGAATGAAACCTGAACAAAAATGCTGAAAGTCTGTTGTTATGTTGTGTTGGACCTCGTACTCACTGGATATTCACAGATTTTGGCCCTTAAAGATCCACAGCTATGCATGTATATTTTAGGGGAGAGCCGTCCAAACTGAGGAAGGCAGTCTGGGCTGTTGCCAGTGATACTCAGGCTGCTTTTACTTCAGTCTTGGCTGCCTGCCTGCCTGCCTGCC